GTTGGCTGCAGCTGACACGGGAACCAGGAGCTTTCCTCCCGCCTTCCTCCCCGAGCATGGCTGGTTTTGGGGGCCGCGCGGGGTAACCCCCAGGTTCCCTGGGGACAGGAGGGACTGCGGGGCAAGAGGGATGAGCAGGGAGACCACAGTGTCACCTGGTGACGAAGAGTGCCCAGGTGGCAGGGTCTTCAGTGCCAGGGTGACACCCCTGGCCAGGTCCCCTCCGGGGCTGGGTGGGTGGGCACTGCTGTTCCCTGGGGCCAAGGAAGACGTTTCAGGAGGTGGAAGTGCCCGGTCTTCGTGCTCATGGGAGTGCCCAGGCGAGGGTGACCCACGGGCCACCAGGGGACAGCGAGGTGGGACTGCAGAACCCCAGACACACCCCGGGGCTCCTCAGCCACCCCTCCTGCCAGGCACGGGGGTTCCAGCAAGCGCCGGCCGAGGCGTTGGAGCAGGATGGGCATGGAGACAATGGACGGACAGACGGACAGGGCTGTGGATGGAGACTTTGCGGCCGGACGGCGGCTGCTTCTTCTTGGCTTCTGGGTTTTCTAGTTAAAAAGGCCGAGGGGAGCCGAGGGAAGGAGGCTGGGCAGGCCCGTGCCCCAGCCCGCTGTGCGTGTCGCTCCCCGCGCCGCGGGGATCCCGGGCTGGAGCCTCCTCGAGTCTCTGCAGGAGCGGGGCAGGCCCCGGGTTCCAGCCTGACCTGACCCCACCGCCTGCCCCCCAAATCCGAGGCCGTCGCTCTCGTCCGTGTCCCACCGTGGTGAGGAGCAAGGTCCCCTTAGATGTGTCTCTCCGCCGGCGCTGGCAGGGAGCAGGGCAGCTCTCCGGAGGGCTTTGGTAAGCTCAGGTTGTACATCCAGACGTCGGTTAGCAGGTGAAGTCCTCAAAGGTGCCCCGGGCCGGGTGGTGAGGTAGGATGTTGGCTGCGTACGTCATCCCCGCTGGGTGGCCCCGAAGGCTTTCACAGGGGTTCTGTGGGGCAGAGGGTGGGTGGGACACTGGGGTGACTGGTTTCAGCCAGACCCCCACAGACGGGCAAGTCCTGTCTCTCCACAGCATCCCTGCCTGGTGCCTCTGCTCCTTTCCCAAATGCTCCCTGAGGAGGTGACAACCCTCCTCGCCCTTTGGCATGTCTGGGACTGCAGGAGGGACCAGCAGCTCCCCGGGCTCACCCAGCACTTACGTGGCGTTTCACGTCGTCCATGCTCAGCGCGACGCCCTTGTCTGAGTTGTTCCTCTTGTGGCTCTTGCGGCACTTGCCCCCCCGGCACAGCTGGTGCTTTATCACCTGTGAGAGCCACATCTCAGCACCCTGGGAGCTCCGTGTCCTACAGGAGCATTTTGGTGCTCCAGGGTAACCTGGACCTCTTGACAGCCGCGGGGCAGCAGAGACACTCACCTCGTAGGCGTAGTCAAACAGCTCCAGTACTGTGAGGATACTGGCCCCAATGAACAGCCCCATCTGCCCTCCAATGTCACCTGCAGAGGACAGGGAAGCCATCAGGGTGGTGTAACCCTGGTGTCTGGTAGCAGAGGGAGCAGAGAAACGGCAGAACTTGTCACCACTGTGACTGGTGCCTGGCCCTGGCAGCAGGGTGTCCCTCTCTGCACCTGAGCTGCCAGCACATCCCAGTGCCTCGGGAACAGGGCCATGGTGCACGGGGCCAACGTGGGACCACCTTGTTGGAGGATCCTGGCTGGGCACTGCCACAGGGCCCCTGGCACAGCCACCAACACTCACCCAGCAAGCCGGCCACCTCGTACGCCTTCTTCTGCTCGATTGTCTCATAGTTCAGGGCCTCAAAGAAGATATCCAGCACCAGGATGTTCTCCCTGCACAGGACATAAGTGGCATCCGGCTGAGGCTGGGGATGGAGGGACCAGATGCCACCCCATGGCAGTGGCCACAACACGTTACCCGATGTACTGCTCCGACTTGTTGTACTTCTTGGCCAGGTACTTGGCAGAGGCTTTGCTGGGGATCTTCACCATGGAGAGCTCTTTGCCGTAGCGGGTCACGTTGCAGGGCATCTCACAGATGCAGTACTCGTTGTCCTTCTCCACCAGGAAATCTGGGCAGGGAGAGAGGGAGAGATGGAGAAATCCAGCACCCACAGCTTGGTCCCACAGGGCCGGGCAGCCTCACCTAAGGCTGGATCTGCACACTCCTTGTACTGCTCTGGGGTGCAGTAAGGGGCATCTCCTGCAGGAGAGAGAAGGCAGGTTGTCCCAGTGGGGCAGTGTTGGCAGGTGGAGCCTGGGGTGGGTCTGGGATGCCAGGTGGGGCTCACCTGGCATGTGCACCATCCGGCAGTTGCAGTTCTCCACCAGGTAGCGGGTCTCGCAGTCGATGCGACAGGCTGTGATGCTGTAGGTGTCGTAGAACTCTGAGTCTCCTGCCCCAGCCTTGCAGTCACCCCAGGGAGGAGGCAGGTAGATGAGCTGGGAGGAGGCAAGAAGCCAGGACTGAGAAGAAATAAACCCACCAGCCCCCAGCATGGCAGGGGGACAGACACCCTCACTGCACCAGTCCTCAGGGACAGGGGGACAGGCGGGTCCCACAGCAGGTCTAACCCACAGCACAGGGTAGGAGGGAGCATCCCAGACCCCCCTGGTCCCTACCCGCTGCTCCTGGCAGGACACGAAGGTCTGGAAGCCAGGAGCCACCCCGAATCCCAGCTGGTCAATCAGCGGGGGCTCATCCTGGCTGTGGATCTGCACCTTGATTCCGGCTTCGAACGAGGTCTCGTCTGCAGCAGAGAGAAGCAGGCACTGCCCATTGCTCTGCAGGGCTGCACCAAGCCCTGCTGCAGGAGGCATCAACACTTCTCCTGTCTCCCACCCTTCCCCCAGGCAAATTCATTCATTCACGTGTCCATCCATCTGTCCATCTGTTTGCTACACCACGTTCTTGTCCCCTCCGCCTCTGACCCTCCTGCTCCAGCACCCGGGAGAGCGGCAGGGAAAGCGTTTGCCTCTATTTATAAACAAGTGGTGGCTGCTTGTCTAAACCATGGGGAGTTGCCATGGCAAAGAGCAAAGACGGAGGAAAAAGGAAAGAAAAGGACCTGAAGTGATGAGAAATGGAAGGAGGGAAGAGGAGGGAGCCTGGGGGATGTGGACCCATGAGGTGTGGAACTGGGAAGGGGCTGGGAAGCACCCCAGGAGCTTCCAGTGACCGAGCAGACCTGCTGGCAGAGCCACTGGGGTGGTGGGTTACCTGTTTCCCCCCACACTGGCAGATACTCGTCCTG